CTGGTAGTTATCTTGCCACATCCACTCTGGTAGTTATCCTGCCACATACACTCTGGTAGTTATCTTGCCACATCCACTCTGGTAGTTATCTTGCCACAAACACTCTGGTAGTTATCTTGCCACAAACACTCTGGTAGTTATCATGCTACACACCATTCTGGTAGTTATCCTGCCACATACACTCTGGTAGTTATCTTGCACATCCACTCTGGTAGTTATCATGCTACACCCATTCTGGTAGTTATCCTGCCACATACACTTGGTAGTTATTTGTTGACGCTACACCCATTCTGGTGGCAGCTTCTGTGTATATCTTGCTTGCCACATCCACTCTGGTAGTTATCATGCTACACCCATTCTGGTAGTTATCTTGCCACATACACTCTGGTAGTTATCTTGCCACATCCACTCTGGTAGTTATCTTGCCACAAACACTCTGGTAGTTATCTTGCCACAAACACTCTGGTAGTTATCTTGCCACAAACACTCTGGTAGTTATCTTGCCACATCCACTCTGGTAGTTATCATGCTACACCCATTCTGGTAGTTATCCTGCCACATACACTCTGGTAGTTATCTTGCCACATCCACTCTGGTAATTATCTTGCCACATCCACTCAGGTTTGTGAGTTATTTAGGGAGCCGGCGGCTGAGCGGACAGACCACTGGACGCGTGATCCTGTGGTCCCGGGTTCGATCCCGGGCGCCGGCGAGAAACAATGGGCAGAGTTTCTTTCACCCTGATGCACCTGTTACCTAGCAGTAAATAGGTACCTGGGCGTTAGTCAGCTGTCACGGGCTGCTTCCTGGGGGTGGAGGCCTGGTCGAGGACCGGGCCGCGGGGACACTAAGCCCCAAAATCATCTCAAGATAACCTATAACCAGGTAGTTATCCTGCCACATCCACTCTGGTAGTTATCCTGCCACGCCCACTCAGGCAACAACCCAACCACGCCCACTGGATGGGTACTCCAGCGAGTACCCATCCAGGATGTTACCTGGGAACTTATTCTACATATCTACAACCATTTTCAAAGAAGTATTTACATATTTACTTTCTAAGTCTCTTCTAAGTTTCTTATAATTTACTATAATCTAAGTCTCTTCAATGTTTTATCCAGATTTTCCTCTTCTTTCAGGTGTCTATTTCAATCTCCGATTACATCCAAGTGAATGTAGTGTTATTAAGTATTCAACTTAATACTTTTTATTAAGTTTTATTCATTTTGTAGTGTTGTGTGATTAACAGTGTTATTATGTTATTAATGAATATGAATGTAGTGTTTACAGTATATGTTTGTGAGTCATTTTTAAATGGTTTATTTGTATTTTTGACGGAAATTTATTTTATTGATCCACGTGAAGGCTATGGTGTTTATTATCCGTATTATCGTAAATTACATTTTATATATTACGTTAATGATTCGTTATTCCCAAATAACTAATTTCAATATTTTTGTATTCATTTCAGAATCGTGAGGGGGTAACGGGCTCTCCCCAGCGCTGGAAAACAAGACCCGGATGTACACAAACCAACTTGCCCCACACACTATATTTTGCTCTCAAGTCAAAACAACGGAAACCTTCCATTAACCAGGACTCTAGGAGACTCGGCCGTAGAAACCTTTGTGACTATAGCTGAGCTTAACATGCCAGAGGGGAAAGTTAAGTTAGACTTGGAAGTGGAGAAGCAAAGGACTGAGGCGAGGCGCGTAGGACCCGCCACCACCTGCCGCGGCGGCCGCCGGCCCCGCACTACCACCCTGGCCGCTTGAGGCCATAATATATAGAACACGGCAAGTTGAGACATAAATAAAAGGGAAAATTCAAACGAGGAAGATGGCGGCTTTTGAGAGCTGTTGCTGTTGTAGTCTTCGGGCGGGCAGCATCTTCATAGGCGTCCTCAGTCTGGTAAGATCTTAATAATGTTTTACAAATATGTAAACAGTAAGATATGTATATACCCTACATGAAGCGAGACCGTCACTCTACCGTCCAGTCCAAGTGGATTCAAGTATATAGAATCTCTGCGTTCTTACAGATAACTGTACAGGGAAAAGTTTATTTCTAACTTGGAAGTTTGAGTGTACACTATAATATTATTTTTATTATAATTATTATTATTTGTTATAATATAATTACTTTAAATACTTTGTTTTAAAGTGAATGACTATTATTTCTTGTTTAAATTATTAATATGTATTATTGTTAGTATTTGTGATGTTATTCTTGCTATCATCATCATTATCATCATCCAATCATCGTATCATCACATCATCTCTGCATCTTTATCATCACCATAACATCATCATCACCATCATGTCATCATGAGCATCATCATCACCACCACCACCAATCCCATCATCATCACCACCATCACATCATTACCACCACCACCAATCCCATCATCATCATCATCACCATCATCAACATCATCACCATCATGTCATCATCACCATCACAACATCATCACATCATCACCACCAGCACCAACTCACCATCAGAGGTGTGTGGGAGGAATAAGAGTGAAGGTATACCTAATCCCCCCCCCCCACAGGTGCTAAGTGTGGGCACGGGGGCGGTGTGTGTGCTGCTGGTGACCGCCCAGGACCTCGACCAGGTCATCCAGACGGCCTACAACACCTACCACGACCTGGAGAACCCCATTAAGGTCTACGGCCCTAATGGTACTGGAGGTGAGAGGGAGGGAGAGGGAGAGAGAGAGAGAGAGGGAGGGAGAGAGAGAGAGAGAGAGAGAGAGAGAGAGAGAGAGAGAGAGAGAGAGAGAGAGAGAGAGAGAGAGAGAGAGAGAGAGAGAGAGAGAGAGAGAGAGAGAGAGAGAGAGAGAGAGAGAGAGAGAGAGAGAGAGAGTGGAGAGAGTGTGTGAGAGGGAGAGAGCTAGAAGGTCCTTGTCAGAGTGAAAAATAATCTTTTGAACCTATCGATCTGCTGCAGACACAATCAAAATGGAATCCACTGCGTGTCTGTACAGGTGAAACGCCTAACTTCATAACATAATAGAAACTGCCTATATCTCCTATTCCCGCCAAACTCTTAATCTGCTGTTAAATCAATTATCTTCGTGATAGACAGTCTACCTGGAAGTATACCCCATAGTATAATTTGAATGTATACCGTCTATTATATAAGTATAAGTCTTACTGGTTATATTAATTGTTCATCTTTCATGTTGCTGTTACTGATTGCATTGTCATTAGCCCTCCTATAGTCAACTTTGAGTAGCAAGTAAGGATGGTTGAAGTAGACTTCCCCCCCCCCCCCCAACCCGCACAGCTGAAAATATAAGTAGTGGCGACGTTTCGGTCCTCCCTGAGCCACTATCAAGTCTGCTTCAGGACCGATCGAAATGTGGACACTTAAGTTATTTTCACATGTGTGGGTTGTCTAATTTTCAGCCGTCGTTACTGAAACTTTCGTGATCAACTTGCTTAAACCATATCAACTTACGTGATATGGGTCTTACGCAGACAGTAAGCAGACAGACTTACTGTCTGCATGACTTAAGTGATACGGGAGTAAGGAAATGTACGACTGATTAAGAAGACACTTAATGAACTCATGGATGTGTAAGTGGTAGTGAACATCCATGGGTTGTGTACTACCACTTAGCTCCCTTAGCCCCCCTTAGCTACCCTAGACCCCTTAGCTACCCTAGCCACCTTAGCTTCCCTAGCACCCTTAGTTACCCTAGCCCCTTTAGCTCCTCTAGTCCCCTTAGCTACCCCTAGCCCCCTTAGCTACCCTAGCCCCCTTAGCTCCCCTAGCCCCCTTAGCTACCCTAGCCCCCCTAGCTCCCCTTAGCTCCCCTAACCCCCTAAGCTACCCCAGGACCCCAAACATCCCCCGTGACTCTCCCCTAGCGGTGACGGCGTGCGTGTCTCCCCTACAGGCGCGCGAGATCTGAACCTGGAAGACCCCGAACTGATGTACATAGAGTGGAGTATCATTGCCACTCTGCTCTTCATGTTCGTCTGCAGCGTCGTCGACGTCCTGCTGGTGATTGGTGCCATCAGGGTGAGTCTCCCACACCGCCTCATGTGATTGGCTGGTTTGAATGAGATTGGGTGATTATAAATAGGAGCTGCCTTGTATGGGCCAATAAGCCTTCCTTCATTCTTATGTCTTCATGTGGGAGGCATGTGACTCCTGTAGGGTCATACTTTGGCCGTACTGGGATAAATTGAGGGTCATTGGGGTTTAGCAGTAGTCATGCTTGGTAGGGTATGGCCGAGGCCAGAAGGTCTTGTTGATTCATGCGGGATCGTAATCCATTCTGGGAACGACATCTTGAGGGGTCAAGTTCAATCCTAATTTACGTTTAATCGCGAACGGAGAAGTTCAGTTATGAACCAGTTTAATTCATCTGTGGAACCTGCGTGTTCTTCAGTGGAGAACTTGTCATCAGTGTTCTGTCATCAGTACTCTGTCATCGGTGCTGTCATCAGTGATCTGTCATCAGTACTCTGTCATCGGTGCTGTCATCATTACTGTCATCAGTGATCTGTCATCAGTACTCTGTCATCGATGCTGTCATCATTACTGTCATCAGTGATCTGTCATCAGTACTCTGTCATCGGTGCTGTCATCATTACTGTCATCAGTGATCTGTCATCAGTACTCTGTCATCGGTGCTGTCATCATTACTGTCATCAGTGATCTGTCATCATTACTGTCATCAGTGATCTGTCATCAGTACTCTGTTATCGGTGCTGTCATGAGTACTCTGTCATCAGTACTCTGTCATTGATCTTTCAGTAACGTAACACAAATCCATTAGCATCATTTTAATTGATGCTAAGTAAACAATCCTACTGTTTACGGAACATCCTGATATTTAAATCACTAAACTTTACTCTTAAATTAATGTCTCGCTGACGTTCAGCTGTACAACAATACTGGCCTGGGCCAGCAATATGTGGGCCTGCGGGCCGCTTCAAGCAACAGCCAGTTGGACCAAGTTATCACAAGTCGAGCCTGGCCTCAGGCCGGGCTCGGGAGAGTACAAGAACTCCCAGAACCTGCTACAGGTATGCTCCAGGTATGAAAAATTTGATGCCAAATTCACTATTGATGGAAATTCGTACATATGATGATTTTCGAGACAAGTGTGATGTTTCGAGGATATTGGAAGACTGGACCCTCAGTCTTATGAAACTAGCATAAAGAAGTTTAAGACTTCATGTCTAGATGTGACCTGCTGCTCTAGGTGCCGTCACACTAGTACCGCTTGAGCGGTGGTTGTGATAAGCCTCTTCCAAAATCATACTGGCACTTCGACATTATGTCATAATAAACACTACAGTTTTGTAATATATACTTGGTCATGCAGTTATATTACGTCATATTGAATGAGACTTGATTATAATTGGTCATACTGAAGCATTTTTAGTCCGTTTGTGGCACACACACTGAACCAGTGTGTAATATCCTGTATGAGTTCAAACTTATCTCATACTGGATATTACGGCTCATAAGAGGTCATACAATTCTATATTAAGTAATTTAGGGTTTAGCAAAATAATTTTGAGTTTTAGTTTTTTAGTGTAAAAGTGACCAAGACTGAGAACTGGGCCACGCAGAGTAATACTTGGTCACTCTGAGAGGTATTGGTCATCCTTTAAGCAGTATTATTGATCTGTAATTTGTTCCTTGCAGGAGACTCCGTGGATGTTGCTGCCTTGGATGGTGGTACAGTGGATCACTATATTCTTCACCATAGCCTTGTTTGGCCTGGTGCTCTGGGTGAGTCTCTCTCTCTCTCTCTCTCTCTCTCTCTCTCTCTCTCTCTCTCTCTCTCTCTCTCTCTCTCTCTCTCTCTCTCTCTCTGTCTCTCTCTCTCTCTCTCTCTCTCTCTCTCTCTCTCTCTCTCTCTCTCTCTCTCTCTCTCTCTCTCTCTCTCTCTCTCTCTCTCTCTCTCTCTCTCTCTCTCTCTCTCTCTCTCTCTCTCTCTCTCTCTCTCTCTCTCTCTCCCTCTCTCTCTCTCTCTCTCTCTCTCTCTCTCTCTGTCTCTCTCTCTCTCTCTCTCTCTCTCTCTCTCTCTCTCTCTCTCTCTCTCTCTCTCTCTCTCTCTCTCTCTCTCTCTCTCTCTCTCTCTCCACCCATCTTCTATATCCACATACCCAACTTATCCCTCACCATCACTGTAACCATTTTCCCTTCACACTATCTCCATCATTGTAATCAAATGGTTACTCCTTAGTTTAGTTTAGTTCATTTATTATGCACCCCATACCCATCCTGTGGGCGGTAGTGTTAAGGGGTTACAGAGGCACTAATGGGCTCAGGGACTGAACCTCTTAGAACCCAAGTTTGTATTTTTTTTATTAATACATTAGGTACATGTGTATTAGTGCAGCTACCCTAGACTATATGAAGTGGAGTACAGTGTGTCAAAAATGCTAACTAGGTGATGCTAAAAAAATATCCCCATCACACAGGATGATTGTTCATTTGTTTTGTGTATACCCGCCAAACACACACCGAAAACTACGACGTTGGTACAACGTTCGAACAAGTTTTAACACCTCCTAACCAGTTACAACAACCAATATAGCAAGTTGTAACAACGTTCTAATACGTCATAAACACGTTAAGCCAAGATGTAACAACTTTATTACAAGTTGTAACAAGCGGAAAATAGAGACAGTTTCGGTTTGTGTTTCCAGGGTATATGTTAAAGCCTATGGATTCGTGACTGTACATTTCACATCCACAAACATCGTGAAGGAGATGTATTAGTGCTGTACCAGACCCGACCCTCCTATGACACTCCCAGCCAAATCACCATTAATCCTGCAAAGTTTATTGAGACTAGCCCCAAGCATCTTTTTTTCCAGCCTCGAACAGACAGACGTACATTCTTTGAGATATAGATTAGTTGTAAAGGAGTGGCTTAAGGGCTGGGGTTGGAACTGGCAAGCATGTTTAGGGTGTTGTCATATCCATGTTTAGGTTGTAGGGTGTTGTGACATCCATGTTTAGGTTGTAGGGTGTTGTGACATCCATGTTTAGGTTGTAGGGTGTTGTGACATCCATGTTTAGGTTGTAGGGTGTTGTCACATCCATGTTTAGGTTGTAGGGTGTTGTCACATCCATGTTTAGGTTGTAGGGTGTTGTCACATCCATGTTTAGGTTGTAGGGTGTTGTGACATCCATGTTTAGGTTGTAGGGTGTTGTCACATCCATGTTTAGGTTGTAGGGTGTTGTCACATCCATGTTTAGGTTGTAGGGTGTTGTCACATCCATGTTTAGGTTGTAGGGTGTTGTCACATCCATGTTTAGGTTGTAGGGTGTTGTGACATCCATGTTTAGGTTGTAGGGTGTTGTCACATCCATGTTTAGGTTGTAGGGTGTTGTCACATCCATGTTTAGGTTGTAGGGTGTTGTCACATCCATGTTTAGGTTGTAGGGTGTTGTCACATCCATGTTTAGGTTGTAGGGTGTTGTCACATCCATGTTTAGGTTGTAGGGTGTTGTCACATCCATGTTTAGGTTGTAGGGTGTTGTCACATCCATGTTTAGGTTGTAGGGTATTGTCACACATGGTGTGTGTCAACACACACACCAACTAATCCATATCCATTTTTGGATGTGTTCCAACAGCACGAACTGGTGGCGATGCCCAGGTACTGGTGGGCGGTGATGTTCGTGGTGGCGGTGGTGATACTAATGCTGCTCTCCTTCGTCCTCGTCCTCTCCCTCTACCAGAGTGTCAAGGAGAGGGAGATGCCAGAGTTCTACCAGGGCGCCGAGCTGGTGGTAAGTCTTGGGGCCGGGAGGCGGGGCCCTAGAGCTAGGAGCCAGGGGGTTTTGAGAGACGATACTGGGGAAGGACGACACAGTGATATTGTCTAACTTTGATTTTTGGTGATATTTAGCCTTATGATCTTACTAACTGTCCACAGTTAACGCTAAGTCATTACCACCATGTAGCGTTTAGAAGGGAGGTTATCTTCAGGTTATCTTGAGATGATTTCGGGGCTTTTTAGTGTCCCCGCGGCCCGGTCCTCGACCAGGCCTCCACCCCCAGGAAGCAGCCCGTGACAGCTGACTAACTCCCAGGTACCTATTTACTGCTAGGTAACAGGGGCATTCAGGGTGAAAGAAACTTTGCCCATTTGTTTCTGCCTCGTGCGGGAATCGAACCCGTGCCACAGAATTACAAGTCCTGCGCGCTATCCACCAGGCTACGAGGCCCACATGTGAGGGTAAGGATTTAGGGCAGGTACAGTAACGATAATTATTGTTTTACAATGTTTGCAACTTATTAATTAGTTTGTTGGTCATTTAATTTGTATCTACTTTTTGCAAACATTATGTGCTTTTAGTGCACTGGTTTATCCTGTTGATTTATTTATGTACTGTATGTATATATACATATACTGATTCCGTCTTCATTTCCAGCACCGCCACATCTGGCTTTCGCAAAAAGGAAAGTACTACGACTAGCATTGCAAGCACTGCTGGAAGATGCGGCCGGCGACCAGGCGCCCGCACCATCTCCAGCAGTTGCCTCTACCACTCTCCAGAGACCTTCCGGGACAGCCTCAAACCCCTCACCACCTCCAGCTTCCCCCAATCACAAGCTCCAGGCTCCAGGGGTCTCTAGTGCCAGGATCTACTGGACATCAACTGGAACTTCCAGACGTGACAGCTCCGGGGTTCAGAGGCAAGCATCCAAGGGTCCATTGGTCGCCAAATCCAGATGCCAGCGGTCGCCAGTTTCAAGGTGAAAAGCCTCCTACTCCAGGATCCACTGGTCACCAGTTCCATAGTCCGGATGTGGTTAGTTCCAAAGTTCACAGGTCACCTTTTCCTGGCAGCGAGGCCACCACTCCAGGTTCCAGTGGTCTCCAATTTCAGGGTCCGGACGTCGTCATTTCTAAGATCCAGAGGTCGCCCGTTCACGCCAAACAGGCCGCCACTCCCCGATCTCCTGAACACCTTATCCAGAGCCCAGACGTTGCCAGTTCTAAGGTTCAGAGGTCAGCAGGTCATATCAGAGAAGTCGCCAGTTCCAGAGCTCAGGAGTCACCAATTCGGGGACCCATCAGCCAACACTTACGAAGTTCACAAGTCTGCGAGTCCAGACCCCACAGGTCCCCGACCAGAGGGTCTCGAAGTCCTCAAGTGTGAGGTTCCCGCAGGTCTCACACATACGAGTCAAGAAGCCATCAAAACTGAAATCTAAAAAAAAAAAAAAGGTCGCCTCTAGGACACGGAGGCCCTTGAACATCCAGTCCAGAGATCGTTTTTCCGAGAATCAGGACCGGGAGCTATGTCCCTGTTCAGCCGCGTCGACAAGTGCTTGGTGTCGGACGCCTAGACAATACACCCAGTTCGTGGTGGGTGACGCTGGAGCGAAATGTGACTTTCATCCATTAACAGTTAAACAAAACTTGTATTCCCCACTTGTAATGTAGCTACAGGTCTTTCACAAGCACATTTATATATATATATATATTTTGCATGGACACGCTGACCGCCTCAGTAACTGCTTGCGCACAAGAAACTTGACTTGTCCAGTGTTGCATGGGTGACTGTTGCCAAAAGGACTTGCCACATGGAAAACGTCAAGCTAATCACTTAGAAAAATAAAGGAAAGTTTAACCCTAGCATAATGTTAAAGGTGTAGTGAAACTATTGATACCTTTATCGCAAGATAGCTCTTAAATTGAGCGTGATCAGGTGTGTCATTAACAGGTGGGCCTAACGGGGTTCCTGTCCCCCAACAACATTAAATCCAGTTGTTGGCCAGCTGTTGGCCAGCTGTTGGCCAGCTGTTAGCCAGCTGTTGGCTAGTAAGTGTTTACACCAGACATGTTTTGTAACGTCTTTTCGCAGGTGTCGACCACCAGGTGACACCAGGTGACACCAGGTGACACCAGGTGACACCAAGTGAGGCTCACCCACACCTGTGTCACGTGTGTCAGGACCCCAGGGGTTACTAGTTCAGATCAGGACCCCAGGGGTTACTAGTTCAGATCAGGACCCCAGGGGTTACTAGTTCAGATCAGGACCCCAGGGGTTACCAGTTCAGATCAGGACCCCAGGGGTTACTAGTTCAGATCAGGACCCCAGGGGTTACCAGTTCAGATCAGGACCCCAGGGGTTACCAGTTCAGATCAGGACCCCAGGGGTTACCAGTTCAGATCAGGACCCCAGGGGTTACCAGTTCAGATCAGGACCCCAGGGGTTACCAGTTCAGATCAGGACCCCAGGGGTTACTAGTTCAGATCAGGACCCCAGGGGTTACTAGTTCAGATCAGGACCCCAGGCGTTACTAGTTCAGATCAGGACCCCAGGGGTTACCCAGGCGTTACTAGTTCAGATCAGGACCCCAGGGGTTACCAGTTCAGATCAGGACCCCAGGCGTTACTAGTTCAGATCAGGAGGCGTTACCCAGGCGTTACTAGTTCAGATCAGGACCCCAGGCGTTACTAGTTCAGATCAGGACCCCAGGGGTTACTAGTTCAGATCAGGACCCCAGGCGTTACTAGTTCAGATCAGGACCCCAGGCGTTACTAGTTCAGATCAGGACCCCAGGGGTTACTAGTTCAGATCAGGACCCCAGGGGTTACCAGTTCAGATCAGGACCCCAGGGGTTACTAGTTCAGATCAGGACCCCAGGGGTTACTAGTTCAGATCAGGACCCCAGGGGTTACCAGTTCAGATCAGGACCCCAGGGGTTACTAGTTCAGATCAGGACCCCAGGGGTTACTAGTTCAGATCAGGACCCCAGGGGTTACTAGTTCAGATCAGGACCCCAGGGGTTACTAGTTCAGATCAGGACCCCAGGCGTTACTAGTTCAGATCAGGACCCCAGGCGTTACTAGTTCAGATCAGGACCCCAGGCGTTACTAGTTCAGATCAGGACCCCAGGCGTTACTAGTTCAGATCAGGACCCCAGGGGGTTACTAGTTCAGATCAGGACCCCAGGGGGTTACTAGTTCAGATCAGGACCCCAGGGGTTACCAGTTCAGATCAGGACCCCAGGCGTTACTAGTTCAGATCAGGACCCCAGGCGTTACTAGTTCAGATCAGGACCCCAGGGGTTACTAGTTCAGATCAGGACCCCAGGCGTTACTAGTTCAGATCAGGACCCCAGGGGTTACCAGTTCAGATCAGGACCCCAGGCGTTACTAGAATTACAGGTTGTGACCCCCAGGGGTATCCACCAATCAGGTGGCCCCTCACACCCAGTTCCTTGTCTGTCTGTAACGCAGGCTGAGTAGCGTGTAGAGTAGTTTGTTGAGAGTTGAAGCCTTTTACTTTAATTGCCAAGGCAAAGGGGGAGGGAAGGGGGAGGGGGGGGGTAGTTTGATGTAATAATCTGCTCATTGCTAACTTTACCCCTTGTGCAGTGCTCACTTAACGAGAGGGTCAATTAGAGAGTCATTGGGTAATTCGCTCACACTTCCAGAATGTTCGCTCACCTTACCATGGCCAACCATGCATGTTTAAGTAAATATTCTCGACACAGAAAGAGCATAATGAACTAACTTCTAACCAATGTTATATTCTATATAATCTAACAGATGTAATATATATATATATATACATACATACCATATGTTTATTTTAGAGATGATATATAAAATATTACATATATGAGGCTTGTTAAGTTTTATATAGTTAGGCTGTTTCCTCTCGTGTGACGTCACAGTCACACCTGGCTCTGATTGGCTCGTCTTCGTATGACGTAGTAGCTAGCCTAGCCGGGACCTATTGGGCTTTACCGTCGTGTGACATCAAGCCTGGCCTGTTGCTCACTGGTTTCCTGTCACGTGATGTCATAGAATGACGCTTTTTGATTTGTTTTAAGTTCCTTTGTGATTTAAGGCGTGTAAGTGGGTGGTGAACAAGGGGCCTTAACTACCTACAGGACGTGTCTGTGGTGTGACCTTTGACCTAAGGTGATGACGACCGTCCAGTGAGAGGAGTGCGTCAGGGGCCAGATTCACGAAGCAGTTACGCAAGTACTTACGAACGTGTACATCTTTCCTCAATCTTAAACGGCTTTGGTTACATTTATTAAACAATTTACAAGCATGAAAATTTCTCAATCAACTGTTGTTATTGTTATAAACAGCCTCCTGGTGCTTCGGAGCTCATTAACTATTTAATGATTGTAAACAAAGCCGCCAAAGATTGAGAAAAGATGTACAGGTTCGTAAGTGCTTGCGTAACTGCTTCGTGACTCTGGCCCTGTAGGGCGGCGGGGCTGCTGCTGCTGCTGCTGTAGCTGCTGCTGCTGCTGCTGTAGCTGCTGTAGCTGCTGCTGCTGCTGCTGTAGCTGCTGCTGCTGCTGTTGTAGCTGCTGCTGCTGCTGCTGCTGCTGTAGCTGCTGCTGCTGCTGCTGTAGCTGCTGTAGCTGCTGCTGCTGCTGCTGTAGCTGCTGCTGCTGTAGCTGCTGCTGCTGCTGCTGCTGTAGCTGCTGCTGCTGCTGCTGTAGCTGCTGCTGCTGTTGACGCTGCTGTAGCTGCTGCTGCTGCTACTGCTTCTGCTGCTGTAGCTGCTGCTGCTGTAGCTGCTGCTGCTGTAGCTGCTGCTGTAGCTGCTGCTGCTGCTGTAGCTGCTGCTGTTGACGCTGCTGCTGCTGCTGCTGTAGCTGCTGCTGCTGCTGCTGTAGCTGCTGTAGCTGCTGCTGCTGCTGCTGCTGCTGTAGCTGCTGCTGCTGTAGCTGCTGCTGCTGCTGCTGTAGCTGCTGCTGCTGCTGCTGCTGTAGCTGCTGCTGCTGCTGCTGTAGCTGCTGCTGCTGTAGCTGCTGCTGCTGTAGCTGCTGCTGCTGTAGCTGCTGCTGCTGTAGCTGCTGTTCCTGCTGCTGTAGCTGCTGTTCCTGCTACTGCTGCTGCTGTAGCTGCTGTTCCTGCTACTGTTGCTGCTGTAGCTGCTGCTGCTGTAGCTGCTGTTCCTGCTGCTGTAGCTGCTGTTCCTGCTGCTGTAGCTGCTGCTGCTGCTGCTGTTGCTGCTGCTGCTGCTGCTGTAGCCAACTGCTGCTGCTGCTGCTGTAGCCTACTGCTGCTGCTGCTGCTGTAGCCTACTGCTGCTGCTGCTGCTGCTGCTGCTGCTGTAGCCAACTGCTGCTGCTGCTGCTGCTGTAGCTGCTGTACCTGCTGCTGCTGCTGCAGCTGCTGCTGTAGCTGCTGCTGTAGCTGCTGCTGCTGCTGTAGCTGCTGCTGCTGTTGCTGCTGCTGTTGCTGCTACTGCTGTTGCTGCTGTTGCTGCTGCTACTGTTGCTGCTGCTGCTGTAGCTGCTGCTACTGCTGTAGCTGCTGCTGCTGCTACTGCTGTAGCTGCTGTTGCTGCTGTTGCTGCTGCTGTTGCTGCTACTGCTGTTGCTGCTGCTGCTGCTGCTGTAGCTGCTGCTGCTGCTGTAGCTGCTGCTGCTGCTGCTGCTGCTGTAGCTGCTGCTGCTGCTGCTGCTGTTGTAGCTGCTGCTGCTGCTGCTGTAGCTGCTGCTGCTGCTGCTGCTGCTGCTGTAGCTGCTGCTGCTGCTGCTGCTGTAGCTGCTGTACCTGCTGCTGCTGCTGCAGCTGCTGCTGTAGCTGCTGCTGTAGCTGCTGCTGCTGCTGTAGCTGCTGCTGCTGTAGCTGCTGCTGTAGCTGCTGCTGCTGCTGTAGCTGCTGCTGCTGTAGCTGCTGCTGCTGCTGTAGCTGCTGCTGCTGTAGCTGCTGCTGCTGCTGTAGCTGCTGCTGCTGTAGCTGCTGCTGCTGTAGCTGCTGCTGTAGCTGCTGCTGCTGCTGTAGGTGCTGCTGTAGCTGCTGCTGCTGCTGTAGCTGCTGCTGTAGCTGCTGCTGTAGCTGCTGCTGTAGCTGCTGCTGTAGCTGCTGCTGTAGCTGCTGCTGCTGCTGTAGGTGCTGCTGCTGTAGCTGCTGCTGCTGCTGTAGCTGCTGCTGTAGCTGCTGCTGCTGCTGTAGGTGCTGCTGCTGTAGCTGCTGCTGTAGCTGCTGCTGCTGCTGCTGGTGCTGCTGTAGCTGCTGCTGCTGCTGCTGCTGCTGCTGCTGCTGCTGCTGCTGCTGTAGCTGCTGCTGCTGCTGCTGTAGCTGCTGCTGCTGTAGCTGCTGCTGCTGCTGCTGCTGTTGTAGCTGCTGCTGCTGCTGCTGTAGCTGCTGCTGCTGCTGCTGCTGCTGCTGTAGCTGCTGCTGCTGCAGCTGCTGTAGCTGCTGCTGCTGCTGCTGCTGCTGTAGCTGCTGCTGCTGTAGCTGCTGTAGCTGCTGCTGCAGCTGCCAATCACACAGCATCGCGACAATGCCTCGACAACTCAGAAAGGTTCACGGTGCTGCACTGCTCAATTAGAGGGGGAAGATGGGTAGTGATCTATCAGAGAAGTTAGTGATAATCTAGTGACCCATATAATATAAGCTCCTGGTTTTGCAGCGGCCACAGATGCTGAATGTTTCAAAAGCCAATCCCAGTAACAAAAATTTCATCAACTTGGATCTCACGTATATTTTATGATATATTAAATACTTACTTTATATATATATATATATATATATATATATATATATATATATATATATATATATATATATATATATATATATATATGGTAATAATCAATGTGTATACTATAGTCCTGCTCCTAACATGATGTACTTACAGTAA